GTTCTCCCACACAATGGAGATGAGGAGAGTAGCTGTGCACTGCTCAGTAAAGTTATTGTAGCACGTTCAGATCTGGAGCTCAATGCGGTAGCAGGCAGCAAGTAGTCAAGCAGCGACACAAAGGTACTGGCAAAGATCAGGAATAGGTAGCCTCAATTGAGTATGTTCCATCATTGGATACATAGTCATTTGTAACCCCTATAGCCTGTGGTCTTTGTAGCTATCATTGACTGTATGTAACAATACAACGCATTCCACAGTTAAGTGTCGTACATATTATGCATGCCTAAAATGTTTTCGCAATCAGGGTATTTCTTATATTCTGCAACGCTCGGTGTTAATAAGTTGTGGTTTATTTAGCAAAAACCCCGATTGCATAATTAAAATACACTCTCGACAAATTACAACGACGTATTCAGCTAACTAAATAATACACAGAATAATATATGAGAGTATGACGGAAATATTCACTTATTCACACGTTAAAGTCTGTGTTATTTATTAAGATTGTTATTACGAACTGTCATAATTTAAGAATAACTGTCCTGACACCTGTACATCTGTTTTTTAGGCTTTCCCTTCATTTTTTTTCTATGGATTTCTAATTGTAATTGTTTCTCCTCGTTTTGCGTGGATATTATTCATGATTTTTTTTTCAATAGTTGAGAATCTAAAATATAATCCATGATATCGAATTAAATACAAGAGTGAATTGTTGTTCAAACATGACGAGTCTTTTGAAAACGATATATATTAAATATGTGACGTACTGGTCTATGCTCTTGTTTGCAAACAATTGTGGTTTCTTCTTCTATGATCTTGCTTTAATAATTAATTTGGAAATTGATTTTAATCATCATTGACTAAAGACTTTGAATTTATTATGTATATAATGCACCGAAATGCAACTGCCATATTGACTAAGGGTTAATTAGAATGAACTTAATTTCTGTCTCAATGGCGAGATTAATGTTCGATAGGTATTTTGCAATATACAGTGTTCATTGCATTAAACCAATGTTTTCTTGTCTACTAAACTGACATATATATCATTTTATTGAAGTTATATTTTCTAATTGTATTTTAGATGTTACTTGCTGTATATATCTCAATATCGGCCGCCCTTGTTGTATCAGCAACAGGATCAACACTGCCTCGACACAAACAGGTTTGTATACACCAGTAATTGTTTTGTTCATCTAACGTATTTGTCTGTAAAATTCTTTCATACATCTCTTCCAATATAATATTGAAATCTTGAATTTTGAAATCTGTTGTTATTCTTACAGGAAGTACAATCGCTTTGGTTTTCCCCGAATGATGTCAGTAAGTTCTTGTTTTCCCGTCTTACATTGCAAATCGTTCTACGTGGATGACTGTCGTTTACTCCTGTGAATTATATTATTATGTTCCGAGTATGTTCATTACGAACTTTTGGCAATAATTCCCTATGTATTAAATTTTAAATTAAGTTTAATATAACCAGAAAAAACATATGCACATAAGATGATAAAAATAATATTAATTTCAAAATTATTATCTTGTGTGGAACGCAGTTATAGTTCATTTACAGCTAATCAATCTCACCCCAATTATAATAAGATGAATCCAGGTAAAGCATTTAATATAGGGTCATACACAATTGTTTGAAAACTATAAAAAGTAATTGACAGCATATGAGTTGTAATAATGATATTTCCAACTATATTAATTTATTGATGCAATAATTGTAAATAATTCCAAGTAGTATATCGTTTCAAAAAGGGGCTACATTACTAAAATAGTATATAACTCAAATATTGTTAAACGGTTAATATATATTGTTTTAATTTTGTTTTGAATTTAATTTATTTTTTATTGTTTTTTTTTTTTTTTTGGTAATGAATTCAAATAAATAGCTGCTGCATGATTTAAATTATGTTTGTTGATAGAAAGACTGGCTTCGGAGAGACAATAAAGAGCCAATTCTGATATTTGCGAAGTTTGAATACAGTATTTTATTGAAGTATATTAAGTTTTTGAAAGAAAGGTACGAAGTGAGCTCGAAAATCTGAGCAATTTTTTTGTAACATAAAAATCGTGTTCAATGTGATATGGACATTTCTCCATAGTACTATGTTAGATTGAGTAAAATTACAGAGTTTGTATAAAAGTAAAAGTCTGGATCTTGGAACATTATTCCAGCTTTAGGGACAATGATATTGTAATGATAGTTTTGTAATTTACGTTATGATCAATTTACACCCCTTAAATTCCCAGGTATACTATAAGTACGTTCTAAACCATAGAGATTATCTATTTATATAGAGTTTGAATAATAAGTTTTCGTTGCTGTCCTACACAGCCTCTTCAGTAAGTTACGATATGATTTTGTATGTATCCAATATTTTGGTGACGTTTTGAATCAAATTTGTGCTTTGTTTTGAAAGATGTTAGGATACCTTTAGTGATCAATGGTGTGCGGATTGATTGAGATTAATTTTTATTAATTGAGGTTGGGAGGTGATAATTAATGATATTACTAAAAATGTTATAACATTCTGTTCGTTTGCGTCAACACAATCATAAACTGGTTCACATTCAACAAGCTGACAATGTGCCAATGCAGTCTACAGAGCTATACAGAAAGCTTTTTAATAATTAATGAGGGTCTCCAATAGGATCGATTCACAGTGCATAACAATAATAGAGAGCCATGAATGTAAAGTGCAGCTAAACCTCCTTGAAACTTATCTCGGTTAGCTTTAATTAAATTGTATGTTGCGATATTATAAAGGGAATTGCTAAATTTTGAATTTAACCAAGTTTCGCTCATAACATATCACACATTTGAAATTGTCATAATGACTATTTAAGAATAAAAACATTTCATCAAAATATTTTGAAAGTGACCTTATAATTACATGTAACCGGTCAAGTTCAGTTAAAGGGTTATACTATTTTTTTGTTAAACTCACCCAGTGACTAGTGGTTGCAATTATATATCTTCGAATCCGTTAATTAAATTATGTGGACTGATTGAAGTGGATATTTCTTTGGATAGTCTGGCCGAATACTCATATTCTTCTTGGTGTCAGGTTATAAGTATTACTGGCGTCGTCATATTCGAGTTTGTGTGCAGTGGAATTTCGCAAGTTCTTTCTTTTACTGTAATTGTACGTCTATGTATGATAACATAGTGGGTCGACACTACCTTTGTTGGTTTTATACTTACGAAACAACTTTTGCCGCATAAGATTTCGAGATTTAGGAATTATTGCGTGCCGCAATATTTCGAAATATAGAATATTTTTGCACGGAATCCAACAAATGTCCCAATCTGTTTGATTGGATACGGATTTTACGACCCTTGGTTGTACGGCGGATTGATATATGAGTGCTCACATAACTTAACGCTCATAATTGTGTTTGGTATACTTACAGTGTGTATAATGCTGCCGCCGGACTGGTATTCACATTACGAACACATTCTAAGTGCGGTCAGATTTTTCTCGTGAATATATTTCTGGAACTGAGCGTTTAGTAGGTTCAATGTGATTGAAAAATCACATAACGTGAAGCCAAACTCCTCATTCAAAACAAATTGCTACGAATTTTAGCTGTGATTACGTTATGCTCGATTATCTAACGAGCTTAAAATCAATAGAATGGAGCAGAACACGCTCTGTTCAATATATAGTTGGCTAATTTGATTTATTATCATAGTCGGTTGGCAATACGACGTAACCGACAATTTGTTTAGTTAGATTGAAGCTCAGTATGCATGTGGAACATTGTTCAACCTGAACTCGGCGTTCGACTGATACATGTGTTTACATTGAACATTTCCAATTAAAGACACTAATTGTAAGCAATCATATTGTATGAAGTTATTCGAGCAATATACGCTGTTATATTTATGTAAATATGCCCAATCTTTATCGATGTCCAATATTCGTTTCTATCACTTTGGACAAGATTTCAACTTCAATAACAAGTAACGTTTTTTTTGTTTATCCCTGTAGAGATTGAAGGCAATAGAGATGCAGGAGGTGAGTTGAAGTAATAAATCTATGAAAAAACGGCTCTTTTTGAAAATCAGTATCCAAATAAAAGGAACGACGTGATTAATACTATCTTCAATTTTATGATTGAATTGTCAAATTGATTTCTTAAACACTACTTCACATATCCATTCATGTTGTTATAATTTAACATTTAAACGTTCATAATTTCACAACTTAAGTTGTTGTAAGTAACCACTCTTTTCTAGACCTGTCCATTTCTCAGTAACAAGGTAGTTTTAACTTCCACGTTTTTGTGCGTATGAAATTGTGAAATCGATTTTCACAAAAATCGTACGAAATATAATGCAGTGATTTGCTGATGCTAAAATTATTATAATATTATTAATATTATAAAATATTACTTATTTCGTTTGCAGTGGAAGAAAAGTTTGCAGTTTATCGTATTTCTTACAGAGAATATTCCAGCTGTTTCAACATCACACAAAGAGAGAGACTTAGATATGCTGTTTGATATGAAAACAAATACAATTGTTCTATTTACCATCACTGGTATAAGAACTAACAACATAGCTGCACGCGTCGTGTATTTTTTTATGCGTATATATACGAATATTCTTATTTAATCCCGGCTGGCCCCAATTGCGATGTTTTCCAAAGCTATTTACAAAGACTGAAAGACACTTGGTTATTATAAAAACAAACAAATATTTAATATATAATACATTTTATCTAGACGATGCCTGTGGGGAATTTGGTGGAATATGCCGACCACTTTGCCATGAAAAGATTGAACGTGAAGGACGAATTAACAACTGTACTGGCGATTACGTATGCTGCAAAAGTTTGTGATACTATATACTTGATGCATGAACTATCATGATAAAATCTAACGTAATATAATTGATGTTTTCGTGGACTATAATCTAATGTCGTTAAAGTATATTTAGGACGTATTAAGCACACAAACAACTAACAATCAAACAAAGCAAATTGCTCATTTGAAGTCAGTGTAAAAGTTGATGCGCAGAATGTTCTTGTCCATGAATCTTTGATTCGATGAAAAAAACATTGAAGTGCTATATTTCGCATATTTATTGCGTTAGAGAAATCTGAATTCCCTAATAAAACACCAATGGCATATAGGTAGCAAAATTCTCATAAACACAATTTGAGATATCACTACTATGGAATTATCATATAAATGTATCCACCTAATCTGCGTTAATTGATCTAATGGTTTGCAATTTTCTATCAAATGCACACGCATGTTTTACACTTTATTTTATTTTCCAATATTAAATCATAAAATACATTTTTCTACGAATCATTCACCAGTGTTTCCAAAGTTAGTTTGAGCATGTTAATTAGTTAGTTTGTTTGGCGTAAAAGAGACCAGTAACAGCCGACTGATGTTTGTTGAAAAAAATGCAAGAGCATGTTGTTAATATCTGTCGCATTTGTGTGAAATAACTAGAAAACTGCATTGATTAATACGAGTTTGAACATCAAACAGGCTAAACTCTTCCTTGCTAGTAGCATCTGCCCAACGACAGAGTATGATTTGTTCCCATCAATTGAATAATCACTGTATTACGCAGTATAATACTAACAGTTTATTGATGGAGGAGATCATAATGAGCGTGTGTGAAACATAATATTTAGTTTTCATGAACTAATCATTAACGACTCGCAAGTTAATTATGGGTACGTTTGGTATATAATACATAATTAATTGTGTTAAACACATAATTGGATATACAATGCATGTGATGAAATAAGTGTCATCTGTTATGCCATTTATCTAACAATTTCAATTTGTTTTTTACATCCAATATCAAGAATATCGTAACACTAGAGTACAAGGTATATTATAACGTTGTTAATATTTTAACTAGTGTATAAAGTAGACATAGTAGATATTTGCATAGAATGTTGAAGAAATGCCTGATGAGTTATTAATATGTTGTTGAAACAGTTGTGAAAGGGTAATAATTAATTTTATTAATGCTGATTTTGATTTTCACTTGTTTTACACCATAAACGCAGAATCAAAATCGGCTCAAGTATTAACACACACAACATGTCTAAATTGGGGTTATATGATCCAAATAGTGATCGTTTCGAATTATCGCTCGAGTGGAGTGTTATAACAGTTGTATTCCTCCTACTAAATCTGGTATTTTTTTTTGGGGGGGGGGTTCAATATATATATCAAACAATATGTCAAACAATACTCAATACAATTGTATGTGACAAAGTAAATTTGATGTAAGGATAACAAAAATATCTAAAACATAACTTCTGTATTGGAGGTATTAAATACACAATCAGGAAAAGTTCTAACTCAAAATATAAAATCACATTCATGGTAACGTTTTTCCAAAAATCATGGTCTACTTGTTCGAAAACATACCTAATAAACAGAAGAGTTACAAGTCCAACAAATATAATTTTATTTCTTAGACATTCGTAGTGCAGTCTGGGGCGATCCCCAATACCAGACTTTTGATGGAAAACATTTCAAGTTTGATGGACATGGTGGATGCTCTTATGTATTATTTCAAGAGTGTAATCATATGCCTGCATTTGTTGTTGCCGTTAGACATCACTATGTAGAATTACTAAATAAAACCGCTGTTACTGAAGTAACAGTTTATGCAGAAGGGAATGCTGTTACAACTACAATCGGCAGGGATGTGTTTGTAAGTAAATGTGAATTATGATTATTGTAATAGTATCCTTACAAATTTGCGCAAACTCAAAAATTACATAGATTCTATCGCTGAGAGCTCCATTGCAATCAACATTTCAAAATTTATTTATTTACATGGTTCAGATTTCTACTGTTAACCTGTGTAGTATAACATTGTATTACATTGTATCTTGTTTATCATTTAATGTTGCAATGTTAGGTGTTTATCTTGCTGCCTCATTCGAATCAATCCAATTCACGATGTAACCGTGACCGAAACCCCTCATGACATAAACCCGAGCGCCTATACCCGCTTGAACTGAATGCAGAAACTCCTGAGAACTTACCTGCTCCAATCACTGAAGAAACGGACAATTACTTGCCTGTTGCCCCTGACAGATTCAGCATTACTAGGCGGTTACAGTAATATAACGACTGAAACATAAATGTAGTATAGTTTTTTGACCAGGTGCTGACACTACATTAGATAAAAATCTTTCATATCCTTCACATATCAAATTAGTTAACGTCACCTCCACGCTATTTTTTAAACTATGATTTTTACAGACGTGCACCGGCACAAAAATACCTTCATCGCGAAGGTATAGTTATGTAGACTAGAATACCTTTTTTTTCATGACTGTTAAATATGGCTAAATATCTTGTTTTCCAAGCATTACTTTAGCTTATAATATTGTTTTTTTTTCAATATCTCTTCTTTTCAACTTCATTATTTGCGTTTGATTAGTTAGGTGCAACTAGAAACATGGATGCCCATTTCATTCTCTTAGTTGGCAACCATTTTAGTAATAAACTGTGATATAGTGACAGTAGATACAGGCGATGTTTGCCGGTATACTTTTCAACATAGTTTATTTTACCATTGTAGCTCTAAAATATATTAGCTACTGTAGTAATCAATCTTTACCAAATCGTATTCTCCCGACGGAAATCTAGACAATCAAACAATTCATCTTACAAAAAGATCAAACTCCTAATTGTCTCTGTTGTACTTGGTGTTTATATACATTGGCCTAGAAATGTTTTCTTATATAATTCCTAGTTACCATAATCAAATATTTTCTACTTGTACAATGTTGTGCCGTTCACAAGCAACTTACAAATAAAAATAAAAATTTGTTCGTTTTCTGCATTCTTCGAGTCACATAAATCTTGGCTGATATTTCTGTGTGAGTCTGTCACAATTATTTGTTTCTTTTAGTTCCCACCGTCATTGTCTCATTCTTCAGCGTCTGTGTTTTGAATTGCAATTGTTTTGAAATTTCGGTAAAAGGACTTATCAAGTTATATATATATAGCATGCTACCTGAACAACCCTGTATATATTTAATATCTATTGTTATCAACAGGTCAACAGCAAACAAATATTGACACCTTCCCCTTGGACAATTGGTAGCTTGAAGATAAGCAATTATGATGAACATGTGAAGATAACCATGAATTCCAAATTCAGTTTATTATGGAATGGCAGAGGACGCGTAGCTCCAGTTGTTAATGCATCCATGTTTGGTAAAGTGTGTGGATTGATGGGAAATGCTGATGACAATCCCGACAATGATATGCAAATAAGAATGCCAGACGGGACACTGAAATCCACTGATAATGTCAATAAATTTGGTGAAAGCTGGATCATTCCTAGCAGGTAACTATTGAATATTGTTCACTTAAATTTATTATTTCAAAATGTGTTTGTTATATATGAGAAATTTGTTATCACAAACAGTATGATCACATCGGTTGCTTTTTATTATATTTTTATAGTTGCTAAACATGGGAGCTTGAAGACATCGGTACTTGCATGACAAAGACGTAAATTATTAACAGATCAACAGGGAACGGGGTCATATATGCTGACAATTTTCGAATGTACATTAGAATCAATATATTCTACTTTTTAGTTAAATGAAATCGCTACACAGAATAAAGGTGTTATCAAAGAGACTGAAAGTAAATTGTTTATTTGTATGTTAATACATCACGTGTAAACTAGATAAACCAAAATATGCTTTAGAGAATGAAAATTTTGTATCTACAGGTGATAAATATATTGAATTTAAAAGGTCGCTGCAAGTTTAAGAATGGAACACACAATAATTTTTGTGATCAAAACGAATTACCAACACACTCGCAAATGTTAACTGATACATTCTAGATTATAGAGTATTCATTCCATAATTAATCATGCAAATACATGAAACTATCCTTTATGCTTAGTCGTTGTCGGCGCTGTGGTGTCAAATGTGATATGTGAACATGATTTCCATTAAATCATTGTTCTCGTTGGAGCAGCAATACACTATTTGCACATACACGCTAGATAGATACAGCTTGGTAACATGGACGAGAAGCAATTCAAATACAGTGTTGCTTAAGCATGGATAAAATGGCCGTTTTGTTACATGATATATAACAAAACTATGTAATGTTTCAATTATTTGTTTTTTTATGAATTATTATGTGTACCCGACAAGCAGATTTGACCATAAGGTAATAATATAATATAATATAAAACCGTCATGGTTAGCACACCAAATTACAAGAATACTATGGCCTAAGATACACTTGTTTACAACAAAAACTAATAATTTTCAGCAATATAGTATAGTAGTTTCTGGTTGAGAAACCTTTCAAATTAATCTATGAAAAATATCGTTGACAAATGGTATATATTAGCATTCTTACTAAATGTTTATATCGCAGTTTTTATCGTAAAAAGTAAAATTGGCGATAGATCACTGTAATTCCTGATATTTATAATCTTGGTACATAAACAATTTACCATGGAATTGTATGTTTTCAGCTGTTCTATTTAGCTGTATGTAGGAAGATCAGAAAATAGATTTTTAAAAACTTAAAATAGTTTTATGTTTATAATTTAGTATAATAGTATATCTTAACCAGATACAAAATATGTGAATTTTAAATATAATATATATATATATATATGTTACAGTAAATATCACCTCATAAACAATTTATAAATCTGCTTTGACGGGGTAAGCGTTGAATAGTGTGTTTTATCCGAGGAAATCTTGTGTGTTAATTGTGTGTCACTGGGTTATCCCCGTCATTATAGACAAAAACTGTCATAGGAAATAACGTTATGCAACACTGTTACTGAATATATAATTCTCACTGACAAGTACATTGTTAAGTTATATTTCTGAAAAAAGAAAAATACAGCGTTCTAAAAGTGGCATATTTCATACCATGTTAACAAATGATTTGTTAATGTGATGAATTTAATCGTCTACACTCGGTGATAATTGTCATTTTCAGTCACATAGCATAAATGCCAGACATGTAACTAATGTAGTGAACATTACGTACATCTATATTTAGTGAATATTTTAGACATTGGTTTGGGAATTTTGTTTCTTATTGCGATTACAAAAACAATGAAAGCACAAATATGTTGGTAAGGTCACTCTGATCTTATATTTTGCCAAACACGTATGGTAATATTGAATAATTACCAAGTACCACCATTGCTAGGCTAAAACCATTTCATGAGTTGTATATGTATCGGTCAGTGCAGCTTTCACCAAAATTTAAAAGACACAACAGACCGGCAACTAGTTTCCCGCATTCCTATTTTCAATCACGTTATCTTTTTAGTTCTATTTCCTTTGTTTTCTAATCATAGAGCAGGTGTCCATGCTACTCTCAAAAGTTGCACGAACATAAGACTGTTTGTTATCACTTTACAAAAAAAATAACGACAAATGCTACAACCAAGCTATAAATTCAGTATAAATTCTAAGCAAGTAGACTAAATGGAAGTTATTGCAAAATTACAGACTGGTTTACGTAGAATGGAACGTAGAATGTTTTTCATTGGAACTATTTTAGCTTTGTATAAATTGTAACATATGTTATATTATACCAGTATATTGATGGTGATAATTCATCAATTTGATTGGTCCAAACGCAAAATTTGTATATGCAATTAATGATATATTGGCTGATAATGCACGGCTAAACAAAGTACGCCTGCAACATGATTTAAATACAGGTTTAATGCGAAAATACATAAAACCGGCAGTATTTGATTTTTAGGGAAATATAGTGGTAGAATTCTAGAAAAGTATTGGACAAATTACCGAATTAAAAACATCTGAAAACTATATAACCATAATACTGCTTTTGTTAATGGCGGGATGCAAGTTGTGAGCATCGGTCGTTGCGTGATCGTCGTTCGCCAAAGAAAACCTAAACCACTATCCCTCAACACCATGAGACTTTAAAATGGATTGCGAACTTTCAACAACGAATACATCTGTAAGTTCAACTGGTGACCATCTAGATGAGGTTGAAGAATGGAAGGACGAAAAAATGCAAAAAAAAAAAAAAAAAAAAAAAAGCAAGGAGGCTGAGGCAGAAATGCCACCAATAACAACCGGTGTCAGGCATACTGTCACAAAACTTTGGTTATACCAAAGATTTATCCAGGTCAGATGTTGGGTCTGAGGTCGCCATGCCGGTCGCCGTGCCGGTCACATGATACACCACCGCGTCTCGCCATGTCTCCAATTTCGGTCGAACCTAGTACAGCTTAACGTCAAATATCTACAGTTACAAATAGTATGATGAGTCAGAAAACCGGTTTATTTCACAATTGTACTGAGCCAATTACAATCCAAATTGTACAAAAAACCGGAATGAAAACGTGGAAATACCGTAATTGTTTCAATGTAATCGTAGATTTCAGTAAACACTTTTTTTACTAGTTTTATCGAATTGTCAATATACTGCTGCTCGTGCATATATGTCGTGAATTGTGCAATATTTCGTGGTATATCCGCCATTGGCGGGGGTGGGTGGGTTATTGCTTAAATAAATTATAATGTGCCGCTAAAATGGCATGGTTATTTAATATATACTCGCTAGATAAACACTCCTTTTATTATTGGTAGACACCATTTACCACATCTGACAGTGTAGCATTAGTAAAAAACAACCCGGCCTAATCCACAGATTAAAATTGATTGCATTATAATTGTGTAACCGTGACACCAGTCTGATCTTAATCTGAGCTTGCCTGAAGAAACTGATGATTTAAACTACCCTAATGGCAATCACTAGTTGATTGTCAGTGTTTGAGAATTTGGCTGTAGCTAGAAGACTAAAACTTTATATGCTGATACGGACCAATGTGATCTGTAGCACCTTATTTCAAAATGCCGATCAGTCCAACGGTTTGGCAGTTATCTCATTTTAAAATTTGTTATTGCTTCTCACTCAGTCAGTTTTAGGCCAAGCTAGCTGAGTACCTAAGACTAAACTGTCATGTACTATGCACTTTTCAACATTTCAGCTCATTTCATACAGCAGATCTGGGGACATATTAGGTACTTTGCTGGCCTACAGAAATCTTCTTCTAGCATTCTGATTGGGTAACCAAAAAATCAAACAGTAAATCTGTACTTATATCGTGTGTCATTGTCAATGGCCGTTTTTTTTTTAATTGAAATGTCACTGTTATTGTTGAAATCAACAATTGTATGTTGTGCTGTGTGTCTCTTCTATCGTATTTACTCAAGTCAAATGTTTCTATTATTGCATAGATGGTAAATAGTTGCCAGGACCTCCATTAAACGTCTGGATATTTTCAATTTTTTTTAAATAAAATCACAAAGCAGACTTTTACTTTCTGCAGCAGATGTTTTATATTTCTGTTAGTGGTGGCAGATGGTTTGGTATGCCAATGTCTGGTAGGGTCCCAATACAGATCGAGGTGATTAAATGGATTTTCACTCGGTTATAAGTTGTGCAGTGTTTTAACTGGGCGGTTAATTAACTAAACTCTCCGTAAATGAGGAGCCATACCACATTACTTAATCTGTTCGCCCAAACGGTGTATATCGTCGATCTTTCTTTCTTTCATTCACGCAAGAAAACAATTTTTGATATATTTGACAACCACCTCATTAATAGCGAGGGACTGCAACTGTACTCTAAACTGTCAGTTGGATTGCAAGGGTGCACTGGAGCCGAGTTCAGAATCTGCACAGTTTCTTAACAGCATAACTAATTGTTTCAAGCTTACTTACAGCTGGCATTCATTCCATGACGACGCATGCAATTGTATCTGGGCCGGGTTGCGGAATCGGCACAATTCCTAAACAGCATATTAATCGTTTCAAGCTCGCTGACAGCTGGCGTCGTTCCAATGGTGGCACACGGAATTTATCCTGGATCAGAGTGGACAGCGGCTATTAACATGTTCATTTGAAATTTATTTTCAGCTGAATTTTTCACTGTAAGTGATGATTCTTTTCATGGCAACTGTTATTGTTATGCGAATGTCATTGTTATTTATGCAATGCAAGTTACATAAGTATATCTGTCTAGCTGTGCATCTGTGATTATAATGCTAATGAAACCAATGACCTCGTATATTGTCAATTAGCCAATAGTCAACTGTCTGCCCCTCTATCTATGAACATGTATATTTGCAATCTATGGAAGCACATATTTCAACATTGCTAATAAAAGTGTCGTTTCTATTTGTATTTCCAGTTTGGCGCTGTTCTGAGCTTTTTGTGATACCCAAATGTATGTAGTTTGCTTCAGAAATAATTATGGAAAATGCCCTGATAAACTTAAGTCCGCCATGACATTATATGAACTATCACATGCCCCT